ATTTGGTCACAAAAATGCCTCAAGGCATATTCTTTTGAAAGAATGTTCATAGGAAGTGAAAATAATTATAAGCAAGCTAGGCCTGGTACATTTTTAAAGGCTGAGTCTTGCTCCTTTATGCCAACATTTTCTCCAAAGCTGACATTCATAATCGAGAACTGGTATTTTTAAACAGTGTTTTAAAACATGCAAACATTCTGTCATACGTAATCTTCTGACCTCTATCTTACAATTTGTTTATTATTGCCTGCTTATCTTACTCAAGCTGGTATGTGTGATTTCCTTCCTTTTAGTCTCATAACATGTTTATGAGGTTAAATTAAGAGAAAGTAATTGGCCCAAATAAAAATTTATGATTTAGCTGTCTAGATGACCAGAACCCTTGAATATTGCTTACTGTCAGAAATGGGCTGGATGAGAGAGAGAACAAGCTGAAATTAAGTATAGATGACACTGTAACAAAAACTTCGACTTTGTTGGCTTTATTTCATGAGCAGACGGTTCCAACCTATAAAGAACGGTAGAATTCTATGATACTGTTATAAGAGCTACTACAAAGTTTGACTTTCATCCATGTGGACCTGCTGTTGGTGGTCATTCAGTGTGTTGAGATACAGGGCAATAAGTAGATAAATACACCTGTACCTTACATCATTTGAGAGAAGCAGTGGAAGTTTTGTAGTTGGAACAATGCCAACTTTAACTCTTGATGGGTTTATGCTCCCTGAGAAAACCCAGGTTTCATAGAAAGTAAGGGAGATGGTTTTGAAAAGAGGGTTGAAACATTCTTTAAGACCCAGGAAATATTTGGAAGCAGCTCAGGCAACATCTCCCTATTTCACTGAGAAGAACAGGGAGGAACAGCACAATCACATTTGCAAGTATATAAACAATCTCTATAAAATATAGGTCTAGTGTTCCTGAGGAGTTGATTTTCTGGTCTAGAGCAGGGGTCTCCAAACTTGGCCGCTTTAAGACTTGTGGATTTCAACTCCCAGAATTCCTCAGCTGGTCTAGAGGGTCTGATAAGTATGCACCTCTTGTTGGAACAACAAGTGAAGGCTGACCATTTTTGGCTGACGTGCCCCTTGTGGCCATTCCTAGAGTAGGCGGCAACAGTGACTCATCCTCTCATTAACTTAAAATTGGATTACTACAAAATGCTATAGATGGAATTGAATTGAAGTCCATCTGGAAAATAGAGCTTCCCATGGGGCAATCTAGAACTATTTAAGATGGCTATTTAGCATCAATACTATAGGAACTGCACTGAATGCTAATTCATTTCCGGGTGCAATTCAAGATGCTACTTTAACATCTTTCATAACTTGGGGCTAGTTATAGATTCAAATAGAATCTCTCCCCCACCTCCAAGAAATACAGAAGAGGACAGAGGCATGTAATTTCTGCAAAAACTCCCTTCTCCTATGGAATTCCTTCCTCCCAGAGATAAAATTGGTATATTTACTGTTCACATTTGGAAACTATTAAAAAACGTATAACACTTGAGACAGCACTTGAGACAGAATTAATGTAATCTTATTTATAATATTCCGGTATAGTATTTGAATTCTGTTGGTTATTATTGTTTTATTGCTTCATTGTTATGCCACTTAAAGTCATATTGATCAAAGTGCCCTAAATGTCTGTAAAATAAAGGAATCCAATAACAAATAAATAAATATAGACATAAATAACATGGACCAGTCAGCCAATACTATTGCTGGCACTGCAACAATTACTAGCCAGAGACTCAGAAACTGTCTATTTGGAGAAGTCTGTTCCACCATTTTCCATATAAAAGCAAAACTAAATGACCAGGATTTGTAGACAATGTAATGCTGATTTGTTTTGCCAAATGTTCTTGTTAGGAAATTGGGTTTTTACCTTCTTTGTTTGTACTGTCTTTTCTCCAAGCTTAGATGAGTTCGTTGTTGACTGTTTTGATCCATTCCATTATTGCTACCTGCTGAGCATACAGTTCAGAACATTTACTTTTTATTCAAATAGATACAAATGTAAATGTTAGCTGCATACATAATTATGCATTATGGCTCATAGTTTTTTTTGAACTGTATTGTTATTTGATTTTAGATCATATTTGATTTCACCCTTTGCATTCAGTGAAAGAATGTAAGAACATTGCTTAAAACACTCCTCTCGATCTAATTCCTTTAAACTCTGGCCTATTTGATCTTTGTAAAATAATGGAGAGTTGTTTTGATCATTCATAAAGAGCTGGATCAAATGTGCAGAAACTGCATATTATACGATTTCAAATTGTAGGGCACAACCTCTGTCAACATGAGGCCTACATTAGAATAGCATGTTGCATAGCATGTCAATATCTACACTGAGAACGGAGAGGAACAGCCTTTGGAAGAGAATTTCAGGTGCCCCTTAATTCATTAGTAAAACTTCAGGTGTTCATTCTTTGTGTGTGTGTGTGTAGATACACATACATACACACACACATACATACACACACACACACACACACACACAGAGAGAGAGAGAGAGAGAGAGAGAGAGAGAGAGAGAGAGAGAGAGAGAGAGAGGAGTATTATATACAGTATAAACATAATATACTGTATATTCTCATTTTCTCTGGTATACTAGATATCTGGGTGCAAAGAGCTTTCTGTAAAGGATAATGTTTAGGTATGAGATCCCTCATTTGAAATTATACATTTGGTTGAAAATACTTGTAGATGAATGTTTACAGGATTGCACCGCTTCTGAATGAATCTACTGCTCAAGAGCAGACAGAGTTTAAGATTGGAGAAGATCATAAACTGTATTGATAATATTATTACCCTACTGCAAATTATTCAGGTTCCAGGAAACCAATTACATCCCACAATCTGAAGGCTGTCACCAATGAAGTGGTTGAGGTGGAAAACAGAACAATTACTTTTACAGTTGCAAATTCCCCTAAACTTGGAAGACTCATCCGTATATTTTCTGAAAATAACATACAGGATATTTCAAGTTTTACACAATCTATGGTAAGTGTTCATTTACTTAGAAAACTGGAAGTATGCCTTAGTTACAAATATTTCTTAATTGCCTAAACTTTTTAGAATAATATTCAGATGGAATGTGAAACTGTTTGGAGATATTTCTTTTAGCTTTCAAAATAGTCAGTAGTTGAACACAGTACTATGAAAAGCTTCCTTACTATGGAGTGGGGTTGGTGGCTACTGTCATTATTGATTAATGCTTGAAAAGCCAGCTGAGTGACCTTGAACCAGTTCTTCTCTCTCAGCCCAACTCACCTAATAGGGTTGTTGTTGTGGGAAAAATAGGAGGAGGAAGATGTGTTGGCTATGTTTGCCTCCTTGAGTTAGTTGCAAAAATAATGAAGGTGGGATACAAACAAACAAATAATTTATTAAACTTTCAGAAAGGGAGTGAAAGATTTAGGAGAAGTAAGCCAACTATTTAGAAATATTTGTATGTGTTGTGATCCATTATTATTATTGTTGTTGTTGTTGATGATGATGTTAGAATGGACCTTGGAGATCATCTAGTCCATCCCCCTGCTCAGGCAGGAAACCCTATACCATTTCAGACAAATGGCTGTCCAGTCTCTTCTTAAAAACTTCCAGTGTTGGAGCATTCACAACTTTTGGAGGCAGGTTGTTCCACTGATTAATTGTTCTAACTGTCAGAAAATTTCTCCTTAGTTCTAGGTTGTTTCTCTCTTTGTTTAGTTTCCATCGGTTGCTTCTTGTCCAGCCTTCAGGTGCTTTGGAGAATAGCTTGGCTCTCTCTTCTTTGTGGCAACTCCTGAGATATTGGAATACTGCTATCATGTCACCCCTCGTCCTTCTCTTCAAATAGGAAATGAAGTATAATGCAATTATGAGACCCTTATCAATAAATCTGCACATGATAGTTTGGTTCTACTAAATATTCACTAGCAGGCCTGTCCCAGATTTTTTTATAACAGTTATTTACTGCTTCAAACTGATCAGTGTGGTGGCCTAGAGGTGGAGTCTCACCTCACAGTCAGGAGGCTGTGTTTGATTCTAGGTAGTGGCAGATATTTATGTCTCTGGGCACACAGAGAAAATAGCTGCTGTGAGCTCCAAGTAGGCATCAGGAAGGGCATCTGGCCAGTAAATGCTGAGCTCCATTCAGTTGCCCCAACTCCTGTTATATTATTCCCTTCCTTAGTACTTCCTGGACTGAATGTTGTCAATCCAGGAAGTGCTGGAGAAAACATTTTTGACTATAATAATAATAATACCCCCTCACCCCAATTATTCCCAGAAGATGCAGTTAAATAACTGCTTTCCACACCAAATTTTACATCCTCTAAACCAGGGATGTCAAGCTGGTGGCCCGCGAGCCAGATGAATCATGCACAGGCCATGCCCACCCCAGTTCTGCAAATGCAAAAAAGTCACAATACATCACGATACGTCACGTGATGTGATCGAGTTTGACAGCCATGCTCTAAACCTCAAAAACATTCCTTCTCAGATTCCTGCCTTCTCTAACTATGATCATAATTGGCGAATCCGTTTTTGCTGTGATCGTTTAACGAAATTTTAGATTAATCTCTGAGCTCTGAAAGCACACATCTCTTAGATTAAATCTGTTTCAAGGTAATTGTGATTGCAGTCTTACAATTAACCACAAAATTAAGGTATTTATAGTTCTGGGGTTCTTACAACACTTGTACGGGGTTACAGATTTAAATACCAAGTTTTGATTAAGATATGAAACATTCATTCTTACTAAACAAAAGCTTTAAATAAAAATGTATTTGTAACTGTTTTCACTGCTAGCAAGTTCACCATTTTTTCTCTTTACAGGTGGATGAAGGATTGATCATCTATGAACATTCAGACAAACAATCAATTGATTGGAACACACAAGATTATTTTACATTTATGGTCTCTTTTCCACCAGCCACTCTGGGACCTCAGGTGTTCCATATTAATATATCCTATGAAATTAGAGCACATGATCAGAGCAGTCAGCTATTTGCCAACACAGGTAAGTTATGTGCAATTATATATTATCTGATCTTTGCAGAAACTCAAGTTAGGTTTTATGGAATTATCTCAAAGTTCTATACTTTGGAGAACCTCACCAACTTATCGACAACTTCCATATTTTGGTCTGATAAAAGATACATAATTTGTACTTTCTGTGTTCTTTTTCCTGGATTTTATATAAAGGGAGCTCTATAAAAAATCAAATACGATGCAGAATAAACATAAAAGTAATATATGACCTACTGATTAAACTTCTTCTAATACAGAATGACATGCACATTAATAATAAGGATACTATCTTTCCAGTAGGCTAAATAGAGTAAAATTGTGCTAAAGCAAATTCAGACTGTACATAGGAGACTAGGATGATAATAAACCTAGCTTGTCTACTCTTCTTCTAAGATGATAAGTAGTTATGCTCATATCTCTAAAGTGTTCATCCTTAACAGCAATTTAAACTCAATCTGAAAGGCTGAGAAGAGGCCTCACATTTTTGTGCATATCCTCTTCAACTGCTTCCCCCCCCCCCCCAGGATGAATTAAACCACCTGGAAGAGTTAGAAATGATAATCTGGAAAGTATTAGTTTAGGCAAGTATTGTAAACCTGTAACTGAAATTTGGCCTTAATGGATGACATCCTTGTTTTATTGTGCATGGCAGAGTTTGAAACACAAAATGTACATTTTACAGTGATCTATAATCCTTATGATAAAATTGATGCCAGGTCAAAAAGATTAATAGTATTTTCTTGGAAGAGTTATGGATTATCATTGGAGACAGATTGAGAGAGTGACTCTACCCATACAGTCACCAGAACTGGACTCAATGGCACTTAAATAATGCTAGTCTTTATAACTGTACATAAGGGAACCATAAAACATTTGCTGAGTTATGTTTTTAGTGTTTTATACTAGATCTAAAAGAAAAGAATAAAATGTAATTCTCCAGAGATATAAACGATTTGATCTTTTTCACTTGAATTCCATTTATATACTGTTAAGTCCTCGTTTTAGCAGCGAAAGAATGGCACACATACTGTCAATAACAAGTTCTTTATTCTCCTCCTGATTACTCCGTCACAACTCAGAGGCTCGCAGGCCTCTCTCTTTCTTTTTAATAGCTAGAATCCCCGGGTAAAAAGCATACAAGAAAATGGCGCGCTTTGCGCCTCGCGCATGCGCGCAGGCTGGCGCCGCTTTGTCTGGTCCCAGGCAGCTTTGCAACAGCCCGTTACCATGACAACATCCCGAGCCTGCTACTGCAGGCTCAGGACACAACATATACCACATATGTTTCTTTCTTAATTTTTTTTAATAATATTGATAGGCTTCCCTATCATTCAGATTCTGGGTAGGGTACATTAATTGAAATTGGAATCTATTTATAAAAGCGAAATAATAATATACTTCCTTCAGAACTCTCAAATCTCTGGAATTAATGTCTCCTGAACCATTTTGGTAAATGGAGTTCTCTTGTGTTTTCTGCTCTGGTTTCCCCCCGCTGTAGAAGTTTTATTACCAGGTTAGAGAACGTGCACTTTCTTCAATATGGCCCTTACTATCATAAAACTAAATGGTCTGCAGCTTACGAGATAACTTAAAGGCATGGCATTCTCAATAGAGAGCTACCATGCCATTTTTATATTAAAAAAATTAAATAGAATGAGAGGTAATACATCACTTGGCTCAATCCCTTTGGAGATTGGGATCTGATTGAATAGTATGCATATATGTTCCGTCCAAATTGGCTTGAAGTATTTTCATGTAATATATTAATTAATAACAACAACTCATTGAGGACTACCTGATTTTTTTTTCATAGCTTTTTTAATAGACAGATTTCAAACTGATTTAAACTCCACAAATACTATGCAGATTGCCTCTTGCAGGCTACTTAATCAGAAAGGCATTGATATTTTCTTGAGCTCCGATGTTCCACTGCCAAAACACTTACTCCCACAATCCTGTTTTTTCTAAAGAGGTTCCTTAGATAGTTTAATTTGCAATATTTAGCAACTCAATAGGCTGTGGAGACCAGTTTTCTCATCTTTCAATTCTTTTTAACCCAATGGGATACAGTATTGAAAAGAAATTTTTGTTAAAAGAATTCAGAACACTGTCCATCTATGTTGAGGATAACTCTCTCAAAATTGAATAGAATATAGCCAAATTTGGTACAAGGCAAAAAGCTGGAAAAGAAAGACTGAGATTGAAAATGGGCTGGATCCTGCAGGGGAATGTGTAGAAAAAAAACACCTAGGAAAAAAATTCTCAAGGCATTTTATGGGAGGGGCTGGCAAGTTACAGCTCAGAAAGATGGTGACTCTTCTAAACTTCCCTCTCTTCTCTTTCTCATTTACACAACCCAAAGTAGAGCTCCTATTAAGGATTCCCGAAGCCATATCCTACATGCATTCTCTACCTTGTTTGTAGAATGGGACTATGATAGTTCATTCCTGTCTCCTGGAAACTGCATTACCTGGTCTGCATGGGTGAAAAAGATTGTCAGTACTAGAACCAACCCAGCTTTGTATACTTTAAATAATCCAGCTGGCACTAAAATGCCACCATTCTCATTCCCGTTTTGATTTACTCAATTTGCTTTTCTACTGCAGTGGGAAGGAAAAGGGCTGCTTTAATGGTAATACTTGTCTACCTGTTACAAGACTGTCTTTGCATATGTTCCTTTCACATCTGATTCCTCTGTGCCAATTGCAAAACATAGCAGCTTTTTTTTCTTCTATTCAAATGGTAATTTTCCAACATCTGTCAGAAGTAAGTCTGCTCATACCCAGGAAAAAATGTATTACAATATTTTCTGTCCACTGGAATTGCTCACAAGTATCAGTGGATGGTCTTGCCCTTAGAATTCCAGTAGGGTTGCTTGATGTCTCAACACAATGTTATGTTTAAGATGTATTCTCCAAATCTTCTACTGAAAGAAGGTTTTTCTTTTTGCAGGTGCTGTTGTTCAGGAAGGTGGCAAAGTTTTAATTGACAAAACTAAGCTAGATGGCTCAAACCTACTCTCTAAATTACCCCAGACACAACGTTCTGCATTTGAAGTGTGGTATGAAGTTGTAGCATTGCCCCAGCATGGCAGAATTGTTGTGGGAGAACGAAATATTACTAGAGACAAGCCCCATTTCTCCCAGTATATCATTAATAAATTTGGAATCACCTATGTGCACGATGATTCCGAATCACTCACTGATCACTTTATCTTCGCTGTTTGGCTAAATGAGAAAAGCAAGTCTGCTGTGAAACCCAATATTGATGTTTTAGAAGAGGCATTTAATATTACTGTTGTACCAGTGAATGACCAAGTTCCAAAACTAAAGTCAAAACTGCTATGTTTGAATGTTTTACAAGGAGATAGAACAGTTCTAGGACAAGATAGCCTAAATGTTGAAGATTTGGATAACTCACCAGAAGAGATTAAATATACCATTATAACTGATCCCCAAAATGGACATTTAGCACTGTGGTCTCGTTTGAATGAATCTATCAAAGATTTCACGCAAGCTGATATTAATGATGGTAGTGTTTGGTTTGTACAAGATGGGAGCCCTCTCTCAGGGGTTTTCTATTTCAGTGTGACTGATGGGCAGCACCGTCCACAGTATAAACTCTTTCGGCTTGATGTGATACCGCTGTCCATCACATTGATTAACTTAACAGAAGTGGTTCTTCTGCAGGGACAAGACAGAGTTGCTATTACAAATGTCCACCTTTCGGCAACAACAAATGGGAAGAACCCTGAAATCATGTTTGAAGTAACAAAGCCTTTTAGATATGGGAATCTTCTGATTGAGAATGAACAGGTGACTAGATTTCACCAAAGAGATTTATATGCAGCAAGACTGTTGTACTGTATGACAGACTTCACTGCCTTTGGTGATACGTTAGAATTTGCAGTGTTCACACCAGACAGTAATCTAACAGGACAGGTTCTGAAGATCTTAGTACAACCTCTTTTGCAAATGGCCCTAAACGTGACCATTCTCAACGGGATGTCTTATCAGCTCAATGCAAGTTATTTGGATGCTACACAGTTAGCCAACTTGACAAAAAGCAATCCCCAGTTTGAAGTCATAATGTCACCAGTTTATGGGAATCTTTCAAGGAGGTCACTGAGTAACACTGAAAGCAAGAGCCTGGTTCTCTTCACAAAAAGAGACATTGACATGGGTGTCATTTTCCTTGAAACCAGTGCTAATATGACAAATGCTGATGTATTAAATGATTCCTTTTCCTTTATACTTAGAGCAGACAATATTCAGCCTGCTATTGGTGAGTTCCACTTTGTCATAGTGCGACATGATCCTTCACCAGTTCAGGTTTTTACTCCAAAAGTGCCTTTCTTAACTACTGCTGACATTTTAGAAAGTTACATTACAGAAGATGAATATCTGTTTATCCCAAATCATGGCGCGCACACAGATGTACCAGCACAGACTTTCAGGCCTGACCAAAACCATTGGGAGCATCAGAAAGATAGACAGTTTGATGAAGATAATGCTAGAGGCATATCTGTTTGGGCTGTGACCACAATAAAAACACAGTCTGAGAGCTCCTGGCTTCAGACACCAAGCAGCAGGAACTGGTTGATCATCATCATACCCCTTTCTTCTGTGACTGCTTTATTCATTATAATTGCCATTGTTCTTTGTATTTTCCTAATGTGCCACAGATCAAAGAAGGCAAAACCTCTTATTTTAGAACAGCCACCAGTAATTCTCAACAGTTCAAGCTTTTCTCCAGAGAGGAGCTTAACAATACCTACTGTCACAGTAACACCTCTCTTAAAAAACACAGACAAAACATCTGTTTTACCATTCATGTCCCTCCAGCGGGAACAGCGTCATCCAGTGCCAGCTACTCCAGCTCCAGCTGTCAGTCTTTTGCAAAACACCTGGTCCAGCCTTGACCCAGAAATTATTCAGCACTGTCGAAAAACCCACCCAACATTAAAATGCAATCAGTACTGGGTATAATATACCATTGAAACCAGTAAAGAATGCTCAGTTTTGTACTCTGCTTATTTAATTCTTTGGTTGTCGTAAAAGTCAACCCACTTTTGAAACCTTGCCAAGAAAACTGCAGGAACTTTATCGAGGCAGTTGCCAGGAGTCAACTCCTGATTTGGAGGCAGCTAAAAAAGGAAAGAGGGAGAGGAAATGAAAGGAAAAGGAAAGAAAGGGAGAGGCAAAGGAAAAGGACAATAGGGTTCCAATTAAATAATACGGGTCCAATTATGTTGGTCACGGTGGAAGTAAGAGAAGTGGTAAGAATGAAATATACAGCATGTGCCCCATAAGTATTTCTTTGGTTTTCTGTAAAGTTGTTGCCCAATTGAAAATTTTAATGTGATGGAATGGTAAAATCAATGGTAAATTTGAGCCATCATGGTGCAATGATTGGAGTGCAGTATTGCAGATTAACTCTGCCCACTGCTAGAGATCTATCCTGATCAGCTCAAGCTTGACTCATCCTTCCAAGGTCAGTAAAATGAGGACCCAGATAGCTGGGGGCAGTATGCTGACTCTAAACTGCTTAGAGGGTGTTGTAAAGCACTATGAAGTGGTATATAAGTCTAAGTGCTATTGTTTTTGCTATTAATCACTATGTCACTGGAGATTAATATTGGAAGGTAGTTGTAGAAAGAAAAGAAGAAAGTTGTAGAAAGCAGAGTTTGGTTCCATATGGGACTAGGGGAGCTTGTTTATTTATTTTGTTTTTGCAAACAGAATGCTCTTGACCAAGTTTTATTTAATTGGGACTGTAGGTAACAAACACCGCTAGCATCATACATACACAAATGTATATTTCCTTTGTTCTACAGTATATAGCTGGAAATCAGCAAACTCAAAACATGAAATATTTTGATTCTATTGGTTCAAAACACCACACATTTCTATTTTGTACAGAATTTCTATATGGAAATACTACTACTTTATATATTTAGGAATTTAAACCATATTAAGGATTTGCCACAAAGTAGAAAGTCAGTTAAGCTTATAGTCTGTGGCATAACATAGGGACAGAACCTAAGCAGTGCCCAGCTGGATCAGACTTCATTTAGTCATCATTCAGTCCAGCAGACTTCTAATAGTGACCAACCAATTGCATGAGGAAGGTCACTTGTCTCCCCAGTGGATGGCCTTCAGAGGCAGCCCCACTGCCATCAAAGCTAATAGCCATTGATCTCCATAACCTTTTTTTGAAGCTGGCCAAGCTGGTAGCCAGCACTACGTCTCATGGTTTGCATGTATGTTTTAAACCTTGGCTTTTATTTGGTGATTAATAGTTCAAAACTCTATTTTTACAGTTTTTATTAGTGTTCTTTAAAAAGTAAATATATGTCCTCTCACATTCTGAGTCTACTTGCTTTTTTAAAAAAATGTTCTTTTTCTCAGACAAAGGGCAAGCTGCTAATTTTACCAGGTCCTTTGGACCCTTCTATAATTTGAAAGTAAATGTTAAAGCAAATCAAGTTTCTGGTACTTTGACTTGTATTTAACTGAGCAAAAAACCCTCTTTAGTCTGTTGACTACTTGCTATTAATTGCAAAGCTCTTGGTAATATGAACAATGCTATGTTTGCTAAAAATTAATGCTAATGTGAACATTAATTTATTTTCATATTTATTCTTCTTAACCATAAAAATTGATTGTATATTTTTGTACATTATTTTTAAAATATGTCTTCATCTCATCCTCATGGTAAATATGTGTGGCTGCCAGCCAGTCTTCCAAATTATCTTGTAGGAAATCATATTTTCTGGTATATTACAATGCCAGGGCCAGAAATTCTTACTGGGTTGTACAAATAGTTGCTTGGAAATTAGCAGACGGTATAGTAGAGCTTCAGAAGAAATTCTGTCTTTTAGCTTTATCACTGTTTTTCATGAAAAAATGTTAAGAAATATTGTGCTGTTATATACTTACAGAAGTATCTCATCAAATGCCTGCTACTGACTTTGTATAGGGGGCTATTTGCACATCACCACAATAATAGGTTTTTTTAAAGATATTTACATATTTTGTATTTAAAATAGTTTAACATCAAATTCAACACACTTCTTTAAAAGGAAAACTTCAGGGCCCCTATTCTTCTTTCTTAAATTATTTTGTAAACTGAATTTGAATTTGGAGAGCTTCTCAAATAGAGGACTTACAAGAGAACCTAAGAGAAACAAGTTTATTGATTTTTCAGGAGACATCCATGTATCAAACAGGGACAAAATGCATCATAGATTCAGAAGTTGCCCAAATACAGGTAGTCCTCGACTTAAAACTGTTCATTTGAAATTACAACATCCCTGAAAAAAAGTGACTTACAACCAACCCTGGCACTTAACAACCACTGCAGCATCCCCATGGTCATGTGATCAAAATTTGGGCATTTGGTAACCAGCATATATTTACAAAGGTTGCAGGCTCATGGGGTCATGTGATCACCATTTGTGGTCTTCTCAGCCATCTTCTGGCAAACAACGTCAATGGATTCCACTTAATCATCACCCGATTCATTTAATTACAGGGTTTGCTAAACATCCGTGGCAAAAAAAGGTCATAAAATTGTACATGACTCACTTAACAACCACTTTGCTTAGCAATGGAAATTCTGGTCCCAATTGTAGACATGTGACTGGTATTAGTCCAATCCATAGGCACATGCCTTCTCATAACAAAACACCAGAATATATAAAAAGGCAGACAGTTTTTGGATATCCAATTATTTTGCCAATTGAAGCTCTTGAGTTCAGAGATCGATAGAGATTTGCGGTTGAAAAATCATTGTCCAAAGATGCATGAATCTCAATCCTTGCATTAGAGATTTTGCAAAGAAGAGCCGCAAAAAGATGTGGAAAACAACTCCGGCCTGTGAAATGACAGCAATTTACTCTGTGCTGTTGGGACACTCTAACCAAAGTTAAGCACGTTTGGATTCCATTGATTTCAAGAGGGCAACGTGAAATAGATGAAAAGAACGGAAAGCAAAATTGCTTTACTTTGAGTGCATACTGAGTAGCCCCTTTCCTTTTATAACCTGGCATGAGAAGTGTCTGTGATAACATTCTTTAGCAAATTATGTACCTTTAAAAAAACTTTCTGTAATGAACAATTTGAATTTGATTCTGTTGTAAATAAAATCTAATTCTGAGTTTTATATTTTTAAGATTGCATGTTTTGAATTCAGTTTTTTCACCCACATGCACCTGTAGTTTTAGTTTCCTTTTGTACAAAGGGAAAAACATTTGTATTATGATAAGTACCTTGAACCAATTATAGTTATTCATTGCCAGATATCCATAGCTCGTAAGTTTCCTGTTAATTCATTTTTGCATTTTATTCCTGAATCAATGAAGAATAATGAGTTTACATTGGATTGTGCTCTTAGGTACTGGTAAATTCTAAAATACAATTAAATATCACTTCTATATGTACTATGCATCAGTAAATTCAAAATGTTAAGCTTCCTTTGAGGAAATACATTCTGTTGAATTCAGTGGCTCGTATGTGTAAGTAAATTTGCACTGGATTGGACTGCAAATCAAAGTTTGGGTTTGTAGTGGTTAAGGTGCTGGCCTAGAAACCAGGACGGTTCTAGTCCTGCTTTAAGAATGAGAATTTCAGCCAGTCACTCTCTCTTAGCCCAACCCATCTCACAGAGTTGTTGTGGGAAAATAGGAGAAAGGATTATTAGGTATGTTTGCCAACTTGAATTATTTATAAAGTAATAAAGGAGAGATTTTAAAAAAATCTTTAAAAGCTTTAATGTAGCTTTGCATCTGAAAATGCATAATTTTTCACCAGTATTCCCAATTTTTCTTAACTGAAATTTAATCAGTGCATATAAATAACATACTAGTCCATACAAAGAAAATAGATTCATCAAAACACATTTCAGGATGAAAATGAAATGTACAGTTCTTGCTCAACCGCCAAGATAGTTCAGTTACATCGCAGAGCTTATTTCACTGTAGTCTGTGGAATCCCTGGCTATAAAATGGTTCGTGAAGAATGTTTTGTGGTGAAAGCTTTTTTTCCTTTTGTATTATTCATTTCCCCATTTCGTGAACTTCTTCCTTGTTCTTTTACTGCATTTCACTATAGATAACTTGAGGGGAAAATAGTAACTGCTTATTAAGCTGTTTGCTTGTAAATTGAAAGGTTTAAACTGAATGTTATTTCCTCGACTTCACATTGTCTGGAGAGATCTAAGTCTCATGCAAATGAGGAAAAAAAGATGTGCATGTTTTTAGTACTGGAGTAGAGCTTAATGGATGTTTTCAAGAGATTTGTAAAAGAAACACAGTACTAAAAGAAATGTGTGGAATTATATACTTACATATTCACCATACCAAACCCCAGGTGGTCCTCAATGTACGACTACAGTTGGGACCAGAATTTTCATCCTAAGTTATCATTGTCGTAAGTCAAATCAGAATCAATTTTATGATAATTTTTATGGCGATCATTAAACAAATCCAGCTTTCCCAATGGGTGGTTTTTGCTGGAATGACAAAAGAAAGGTTGCAAATCATGTCACATGAATACAGGATGCTGCAACCAGTCATAAATAAGAAACGATTGTAGAGAGCCCAAACTGCGTGACCACAAGGTGGTGCAAATGGTTGTTTGATATGACTGCAGGAGTGCTGCAGCTGTTAAGTGTGAGTATAGGTCATGCGTCATTTTTTCTGAAGCCGTTGTAACTTTGAACCATTGATAATCATACAGTAGTAAGTTGAGGACTATCTGTACTCTAAAGTGCTTTGCGTATATTCTGAGTGTGCATCCACTATATTTATATATTTCACAAATACGTAATTACTGCATCAAACAATGCAGTCATGATTGCTGGACTTCCTGTTGGAAAAGGCATGGCAAAACCTGGAGGTGGAATCAAAAGAGGAATCAGTCTAGAATCTCTTATGTAGTCACAAATGGACCAAGTCCAATCTCCCTTGAATTCCATTAAACCTTATCTAATGCCAAGAGAGTGCTGACCATTTGTTGAGTAGATTACTGTGCAAA